ATCTTTGCCGTTACTGGCTGCCTATAGCTCGGGCTTTAACTGAATATTGGGATGGCAGAAGAAAAGCTTCAGTCTGTCTCACAAAGGTGTTTGGCAAACAAAACAGAAGCACTGTGGCTTTAAATCACCGTCCCTCCCACCCTTTCTAAATATCGTCTATTTAGCCAGCGGTGAAAAGATATAGGGGGCTTTTGTCTGCGTACCCGCTGGTGGGGGCATGGAGAGCTGGAAAGACACAAAAATAGGAACAAAGTACTAAGCTTCCAATTGGGATGGCTCTGGGCGATTCAATGCGCGCTGCTCAGTGGGCAAAAACAAGGAGAAGTGGGCTACTATTACGGGCTTATCTGAAAATAGGCTATTCTCACACAGCTATAGGGTAGAGACTGGTGTGGAAATACCCTGCATTGTTTATAATAGACAAGGCTATGGAAGGCAAACACAAGCCCTTTAAAAGTCTGGCACGGTTCCATGGAAAAAGGCAAACAGTGCGAGTTAGTTGTTTTGTTTATTACAGACTGTGTCCCTGCATTATTGTAACGTTATAGTCCACTCACCGACTTGCAATACGTTGTCCACCCAGCCACCCTCTAGCAGAGTGACACCCCGTAGGAAAGGCAGCTGGGTCTCGTCATTATTGTCCCCGCTAGTTCCACTTTCCTCTCCTCCGGCGTTGAAAGAGGAGTACATACAGATCTCCTTCTCGCTTCTCGGGAATGACCAGTATACGATCCTCCGCTGGACGGGCTCCGGGATCCTCTCGAACCGCTCCTCCACCCTCTGGAACGGCCACTTCTCCGCGACTCTGCGTGCCGCGATGTCGAGCAACGACTCGGGGTTGTGCGTTTTTCCATTCCCCGACCCTCCCGGAGCGGACCCTGCGCCGCCACACAGGACTCCTCCAGCCCGCTGCCCCTGCCTGCATGCCGGGTTGTAGCCGGGCCGGCAGCAGAGCCGCTTGGCTGGGGGCTGCTGGACTCGCTCGGCCATGATCGCACCGCTTCCAACCTGAAGCGCAGTTCCTCTCCGATCATATAAACGGGATAAGGAAGAGAAAAGGGCAATCTCGCAGCGATTGTTTGCCGTACATGGAGAGACTGCCCTTATTTGGAAAGGTAGGCGGCGCCTGCGAGTTCCGTGAAGTCCTTTGTGTTGTCAAAGTAACCGGGATGGGCGGGATCCTGGAGCTCTGCCAGCGCACGAGTGGCGCTATAAAAGGAACTGGAGGCGGAATTCCCGAACGTCGGCAAATCCTTTGTGAAGCCGTCCGGGAGTGCGAGGGCGGAGCCCCGGCGGCCGACGGCCTTTGAAGTTTCCTTCTTATTTGAGTTTAAAGGCGGGGACTTAATCCAGGGGCGGTCTCGCAGTTTCCCACAGGGGTAAAAGGGGGCAAGAAAACTGACTTTTTTCCTTTGGAGCCTGTGCTACTACCCCGGGCTCTAGCTTCTTCAGTAACAACGTGATGGTTGTTTTCGAGGCTTTAGTCCAAAGGACTCTCAGCTGTCAAAGACGGAAAGGGCGTGGGAGGAGGAACATAAAGATATGGAGCTGGATATGCTTGTCCTCTGTAGTCACTTTTCTGTAGTCACTAATCAGTTATTTTGCTCAGCTGTTTGGCATAGGCTGACTTTGCTTCAGCCTATGGACAATTAATCTGAAACCAACTCTGAAAACAAGGTCGCTCTCTTTCTCTCTCTCACTCAAACACACACATGCACACTGAATATTTAAATATTTATTTATTTTTTATATTCTATTTTAAAGGGACATTCCATAGATGTTACACATGAGGTCAGTAGGCTATAATCGTTACAGGGGCAAGGCTGGCAGGTTTTTAATTTTTAATTAATCACTGATTTGTTACAAATTTGCACCACTGACATAGGCTACAGTATCAAATAGATAATATCATAGTGTCAAAATCTAGTTTTAAGACTTACTGTTTTAGTTTATATTGTGGTTGTTTGTTGTGTTTTATTAAATGGCTTCCATTTTTTTCTGTGTGTCATGTGTCTGTTAAGACACAGAAAACCTCAGGCAAGGTAGTATTATTCCATCATAGAAGATCTGTAAGGCTACAGCCAATAATAACTTTCAATATCAGTAGTTCTGACTATTTTCTGACTTTTTCTTTAATAATCAATTGATTGTTCAGTGTATAATATTATTGCTTTAAAAAGATATTAATTGACTTATCAATTAAGCTCTAGTAGGACTACTAGTTGGTTTTTGGGTGCTTGAGGAAATACGGGGGCCCTGTAGCTATCAGGGTTATGTTGGATTGGGGTGTTGAAACTTTAAACAGAAAGTTATTTAAAGGCTCTATCAAGCTGTATTATGTGAAGTGTAGGATCCAAACGTGTGTTCTGGAGCTTGAACCATACTATTGACTTTAGATCTTGATATCTGGCCCAGTGATCCATCAATTTTGATCATTCTTTTTTAGTCTCCCGCAACTTTATGAAAGTGCAACACTGACTTGCTGAGAACCCCTTTAAGACTGCGTCTGCATCTCATCATGTTCTTTGCTCTTTACTCAGTCCAGTAATTGAGTCTATCAACTTGCAACAGAAAAAGCAAAAATCAAAGGCTATTGGAAATTCCTCAAGGACTGGCTAGACTAGTGGTTTTTCTTATAATCATTATGATTCACGCCACCAGTGGAGCTGGTTAACTATAAATTGTGGTTCAGTCATTTTATGGTCTACCCCCTCCCTGTTTGTTGATAATGTTAGCTCCATAGCTGTCTTGAAAAGGAGGCCTACTTCTGTAGGAGGGGTTAGGGTGCGGCTGCATTGCCCACCGTCTCCCAGCCTGATTAGACATGTAGCAGAAGCTAATAATTATAATCAGATAACAAAAAAGCCACCAGATTGAGGATGTTTTTCTAAATTGTCTATAAAAGTTGACCAAAACTATGCTGGTAAACCAGAATGTGTGTTTGCAATGTGTCTGTCCTCTGCATGTGTTCCCAGCTGCCCCTCTCCTTCCTCTGTGAGTAGGTCTAAAAGGCTGGCCTTTGAACTGCTCTGAAAGTGATCCATGCCGTATGGACAGAGCAGATGTGGCCTAACCTGATTTGGTTTCAATACTTCCCCACAGGAAGTTCACAAAGCCAGCAGGTCCTCCTTTGTTATGTTAGTCATCTTTCTCAGAGGGCCAGTGGAGCCTTTTGCTGTTTTTATACACTTATTGCCTTATCGTTTGCTTTATTCTTCAGACAGAGCAGTTCCACACATGATTAGACGTTTCAGCAACAGCTAGATGTCATGTGAATCTTTATCCAGTAACAAAGTGGAATATGTTGATCAGTTTTGTAGAGTTTTGTATAGTTAGTCTGGTATTCAATATTTGACTTTAATCATTATCCAGCACAAAGGGTTTTATAGCATATTCATGGCACACATTCAGATTCTTTCTTTGGGGAAACCTGACAGGCAAGAGAGTGCTATGCCCAAACTTTTACAGACAGTCGAGGGAGTTCACCCGGCAACTATGTGGTCACAAACAATTTGGTAAAAAAACGGATCATGATATGTCAAACACATGTTTCATTTAATTTCACCGAAATTCAGGTTCTTAATATACCACTCATCTTATGCCACCTGTTCATGTCCCTAAAATACTTATATTTTTATGACTAAAAGAGGACGAACAAAAACAATAACAATACAAATAGTGTTGTTGCCTTTCTATATTTACTACATTTCTGTTTATATTTATTACTGCTGCTTTCACCCACTCTTCTGCATGTCCTTGTATTGAGTGGTTTGCTATATTTTACCGGAGGTTCTTAAAAACTCTGTGCTCTTCCTGTTTGTTAGGATATTAATATGCATAATGCTGCATATAAACACTAAAGCATCTTAAATCTGTATAACCACTGTACAGTTACACAATTTGTAGGGTACAATATTATAGTCAAAATACAAAATGAAGTACTGCTTAATATTAAGTTTTCTTTTTACAGTTCATTTGGCACATTAAGCCATAAAGTTTGTGTGACCATATAAGTAACACAAGTGACTTTAACACAAAGCCATGCATTTTAGTAAAGCTTGATCACAAGCTTGGCAAAGTGGACAACTGCCCAGGGACTCTAAAAGCCCCAGGGTTACTCCATATCATTTGAGTCTTTAAAATCTAGTTGTAAAGCCTAAACTGTTTTACTTTATGTTGAGTTAATTTGTTGTAAAGTTGTTCTTTTTAATCAAACTGCTGATATTTTTTTCTGAATGTCCAGTAACTAACACACAGAACACTTGAGGCAAGGTAGTAATACCATAATAGAAGTACTGTAAGGCTGCAACCAACAATTTTCATTATCAATGAATTTGACTGTTACTTTCTTTGATAATCAATTGATTCTTTGGTGAATAAAAATGATATAAAAAAATAGAATAGTGAAAAATACCTAGCATTATTCCCTGAAGGTAAATTTATTAAAACTTTCTTTTGTTGTTTGAAAGTCAAAAGCAAGAAATAGCAAATATTAATCTATAAGAAGCTGGTACCATTGAATCTTTGACATTTTTACTTAAAAAAAAAAAAAAAAGTAACAGAAAAAAAGACAATAATTAATTGATTGTTGAAATTGTACCCAATTAATTTTCCATCAGTACACTAATTGATTGATCATATAATTATTACAGCTGTAGGGAATTGGTTGTTTCAAGTTGCTTGGGGAAACAATGAAACTGCCATATAGACTAAAGTGGGGGTCAACAGGGGGCCAGCAACAAATTTTTGCCCCAGGAGATTAATCCAGCCATGAATGTTAGGCTGCCATAATCAGCGAAAAGGTAATAGTTGTAGCAAACTCACCAATGGAGAGAACTATGAGTGCCTTGATGTTAATTTCAGGGCTGTTGGTGCAGGAGGAGCATGTCCTGTATTTTGATGGTATATTAGGCCAGGTTTTTAGGCTAAAGGACTACATTTCCCATACTTTAGGGAGAGCCTCATATCCAATCACGAGTCAACGATAATTTGAGACCTCACCGGTTTCACTTCCTGAAGCAGGGAGGAGCTGGAACTTATCGTCGTAGACATAAGCACATATCAGTGCATTTTGGTAAGTTTTTTTTTATTTAGCGTCTTTTTTTACCACCACTTAACCAACACGAAAATATAAATTCATTGTATGTCACATTCACACGTATTTTGCTGCGCTGTTTCGTTCTCGAGTCCGTGCTCTTGCCAGTTCAAGTTAGGCCGTTATGGATGGGTGGCGGGTTAGCTGACGGTGCTAACGGTATTTGAAATGCAAGTCTTTCATCCACATCTCAGAAATTCAGGTCTAATCCAAGTGGCAGACAAAGCGAATGTGTTAGTTCAGCTTGTTCATACGAGGCTGTGGCCAGAGTAAATGGTTTGTAACCGGTTTGCCTGTGAATACACCCAACATATGCTAGCTGCGCCTCGATCTGATGCTACTTAGCCATTGGTCATAAGCAGGTTAATGGGGGACTGTGTGGTCACAGCAGCAATAACTTTATAAAACCTTTATAAAAGCATACTAATGACTCGATTAGTGGATACAATTGTTATAACTGAAGCATGATGGAAATTGCAGTTAATGTAGCTTTCTATGTTAGCTGGACCAACTACAACGTTAGTTATTTACAAGCCTACTTTTCATTATTATGTGATTATCACTGGACTTGTTAAGATTTAGATGTTTATTGTGTAAAATCTACCAAGTTACTATTGTTGGTTTTGACGGTATTGTGACAAATTGAATAAAACACTCATTAAGTCAAGTGTTTTCCCAGAAAGAATTTCGAAATCCTTGAGAGGACCAAATTCAAATAATTCCTAATGGTTCAAGTTTAAATATAGTATCAAATTCCAGTCTTGAAGTCAAAGCAGCCATATTTTCCTTACTCTCTTCATTATGCTCTTTAAAGTTTTGTTACTCATCAAAGAGAAACCCTCGAATATAACGTAAGAAGTCCAGTTGCTTGCTACTAATATTTTTGCTTATGTTTAACTTCTTAATCTGGCTGCAAATAACGATTTTTTTTATTATTATTATCAAATTATCTACTGATTAACAGCAAATATGAGAAATGATTTCTTTAAAAATGACAAACGATTTTTCAACTATCAAAATAGTGCAGATCTATTTTCTGTTGATCTACTAATCAATTAATCAACTGATTGTTGCACTAATTTGTCAACTGGCAGAGATTTGGCTACACTTTTTTTAATACAGTATTGCTATATGTAGTATTAGTAATATTCTTAATAACGCCATTCCTTTAATATCTTTGGGTGTTTAAGGTCATTGTGGGAAGTGTTGGACATCAATGGGCAGGATTGCTTTATAGAAATACTTTTTTTCTTGCATCATCACTTGTCAGGTATTAAATTTGCTGATTAGCCAGAAAGGTTGTGTATATCTGGTTTAGGGCTACAGCTAATGATTATTTGAAATTAACCTGTATGTACATTGTTTTTTCAGTTGTTTAGTTTATAAAATGTCAGAAAATAGTTAAAAACAACACAACTATCACAATTTTGGAGGCCCCAGTGTAATGTTGCCAGATTTCAGAGGGCAGCCAAGCCTCACATTTGAGGAGCATGAATCAGCAAATGTTAGGTATTATTCTTTGAGAAATGACTTTAACAGTGACTCAGCTAGCAAAAACTTAGAGGCTAAGTTTTCTGTTGATTTAATAGTTTCAACACCACTCTGGTTGTTTTTATCATTCAACAGTATCTAAAACAAAATTTTTTCAGAAATTGTACTATGTCAAGGTATATTACTGACAATGTGATTATGAAATGGCATACACTGTAAGGGTAGATTTCATCCATAACACCCACTTTCTGACACCTAAAATCATTATTGGTATATGGTCCTAAGATTGCTATATTCATTTTTTTCATACATATTAGACAGCTCTGGCCATTAACTCCTTTCTTTCCTGTTACCCCCTTCTCAGGTCTGAATATTCCTCATCGTTGCTGACCAAGATGATTGACGTTCGTGCATGGGCAGAGTATGTGGTGGAGTGGGCTGCCAAAGACCCCTATGGTTTCCTTACCACTGTCATACTGGCTCTCACACCTCTTTTCATTGCCAGTGCACTGCTGTCCTGGAAACTGGCCAAGATGATCGAAGCACGTGACCGGGAACAGAAGAAAAAGCAGAAACGTCAGGAAAACATAGCCAAGGCAAAGAGGACCAAGAAAGACTGAGCCTGTGAGGGCAGGATGAGGGCATGAAAAAAGGAGGAGCAACCACCACGCTCACAGCCCTCCTTATTCCAAATAATGACACAGTGCCCTTCCCTGTCCCAGCCCTACTGTCAGCACAGGGCCACCATGCCTCATGTCCTGGGTAGGAGGAGGGACACTGGCCCCACAGGCCTAACAGTGCTGAGACGGACAGGACTGCCCAGAGGAGGCTCATCCCAGTGGGACTTTGGTCAGCAAGAGCACAGTGGTCATCTGTAAGAAGTTTTTATGCAGAGATCTGCTGATAATATTGTGCAGCTGTTGCAACACCTTGCATTCCATTGTTAGCATCCCTGTTCTGACGATGTAATGAGCATACTGGAATTTTTTCTCCAAGTCACTTGCAAAATATCAAAATTATTACTTTCTAATTAATAAAGTTTTCATGGTTGATAAGAAAATCTAATTTCCTCTGTGTGGATTGAACAGCATCAGAAGTGCTTTTAATTCAGTGCACATAAAAAATATTCACCCCCTCATGTTTTATGATATTGTAACACTGAACTAGAGTGCATGTAATTAGGCTTTTGTGTACTGATTGACAGAAAAGACTTTAATGTCACAGTCAAAAAGAACTATAGCGTGAAGACAGAGGAACATCTAAACAAGTCAAAAGAAGGAAAGAAAATTTTGGAGGCACTGACTATTGAACACAATAGAGGGAGGTCAATCATAAAACCAGACAAAATATGTAACGGCTGTAAAAGGCCAACATGCTGCCAAAGGTGCCTTTATTAAATATTGACTTGAAGAGAGTGAACCATTTTGGCCAGGATTTACTGTTATGCATGTTTTATACACTATGTTCTTTATGTTTTATACACTTTGTTCTTAACTTAGATCTACTTGCCTTCAATTTGATAAGACCCCCTGTTTATTAGTATTAAAAATGAATTACATTCACTGTGACTCAGTGTTGTAAGATAATAAAACGTTCAAAAGTCCAGTGGGATGGATCGTTTTTATAAGTACTGTAATTCTAAGTACTTGTGAGCCTGTAAAGAAGCAGTTAAAACCCATAATTCTAAATACAGACAGGTGAACAAACGCACATTTGTTTTCCCTTTTCTTCCTCATGACGTTTTATTCATCCCTTGGTGCAGAGTATTGATATCTCCTGAGAGCATTTAGAAAAACATACATGAGTAGGACGGCCATGTTTTCAGCTGCAGGATCTCAGCTTATGTTGCTTTTTTAGCAAGTGCTCAAGCTGCTCTTTTAAGCTCCTTTCTTCACCAACTCTGTTGCCAACATAAACTCTGACCTCCGGTGAAAGAACTTTGTACTGCGGCAAAACAGTATACTGTAACATTACTCATGATTTTAACTTGTGATTTACAGTCAGCAGACGCCACCTTCTTGATAAATAGAAACATTAACAGTATTTAATGTAACTACAGCCTCAGTGCAACAGAGTTCAATTTCAAGTTAAAAGATCTTCTCTACTTAATTCCCACAGCATGTACCTTTCCACATGCTTTAACAACATTATTTCTTTTCATCTTCACACTGGCAAAAGTCTTTGGACAGAATGAAATCTGAATGAAATCTGTTACACTTTTTAGGTTTAGCTCAGTACAGAGTTGAGTTCATACTGATTCATTAGAGCTGATTTATTTATTATAATTAATTAGAAAATATTTCTAACAGTATCCCTGAAACACATTTGTTTTTTGTGCACTTAATAATTGATGAAGTACAACCACTGCAGTTTTTCTTCTCTTTACTAACAAACTTTTCACTACATTAAATTACTGTTGTCCCATATAGTCATCTTTAAGATGAGAGATGGATAATCTTGTGTATATTCAATATATACTGAGGGACCAGAAAAGTAGGAACCCCTGTACAATGTAATGCAGACCAATAAACCAGCTTTGAAATAAATACTTCCTCTGTAAAACATATAATGCTCAGTTATTTGAGACTGATTCAGAGATGAGTTGATTAAACTCTGGTAATTTCTGAGGTTATAGTTTGTGGTGCTGCTGATTTGGATTGGATTATACTGAAAGGTGTCTCTAATATTTAATCTCCAAGTCTCAACTATATCAGTTTCACAAAGGTAGTATTTATTGCAGGGCTTTTCTATTGGATTGTATTACAGTACATTACAACGCAGTCTCAGTGTATGTGGATGTCTGTCTACTTCTTGGAAGTGGGCATCCAGGAGCCAGGCTGGAATGTGTTTGCGGTGCTGGTGGGCTCTTCCGTGATCTCCTGCTTTCCGAAGCTGGTGGCAGCTGCATGGCCTTTGGCCACAGTCCTTGCAGGGGTCGCCACCAGACCTTCCTCATACTCCTTAGCCTGTAGGGCCAGATCCTTCTCCTCCACCTCTTTGGCCTTCAGCTTGATCTGCTCCCTGTAAGTCTCATTCTTCAGCAGCTCCTGTAAATTACACAGGTGGACATAAAAGCATATATTCAAGACTTTTTAAGAACTTTTAAATACCACATGCTATATAACACTTTTTTCATGGTTAAATAATGATGGAAAACCTGAAGGAGGGATATGGCCTAGAATTGTTCTTTAAGTATATTAATTTATTGACATTCATATCACATTTTCCTCAGTACTTCCTGGTGATATAATTCATCAATTAACATGACCTGGGCCCAGATAAGTGCTAAAAGATCTGTTAATTGATTAAAAAACAATTCATTAAGTTCATTTAAGTTTTTGCTAAAATCAACACCTCCCCATCATGAGTCATAGAGGTTCCTACCTTGTTTTTTTGTTTTTATTTTTTTTTTTTTTACAGGTTTTACAGTGCTGACTGAAACCCCACAAAAAGCATGAAACATCACAACAATACTACTTCTAGTTGACAAATGGCAGGCAAGAAAAACATTCAATACTTGTCTTCTGAGTCTTTTCTTCTGAGGGAACTGAATTCTTGTAAATATTACATCCTGCAAACATGAACCAGTGATCATTTCCGCTCCTTAATCAACTACCCCTGTTTTGTCTTAGAGCAAAGCACAAACCATCAGCTGCTCACCAGTCAAAAAGCAGAGGAGACATGAAGTTGCACTCAGCAGCTTCCAGGAACAAATGTGTTTATGCGTCAAGTATGAAGTAGGGCATTTACTAGAAAAAGAACAAGTGTGCTCAGTTAACCTATATTGGTCCAATAAACCCTGGTTAAAAATGTAGTGCTTGGAACGGATTGGTAAACTAACGTGACAGGAGGCATCCGTAATATAAACAACCATTCCAACTCATGGAAACAATTATAACCTGAACATGGTCCACCAGTGGAATAGTTACCCTCTTGAGCCACAGCTAGTGTCCAGTGATGTTAGCCTCTCCCTAGCATGGGAAGCCAAAAAGGAAGGGAGGACTGGGCATAATGCTGTTGTGTGTTGGCAGAACTGAAGGACTGGAAAAGAGAGGGGGAGAGCCGTGGCCAAAAAGCCCCGCTTTGGGGATGGAGACAAACATACTGAGCTGCTTTTCCAGCCTGTTAATGACAGGATTTAATCCAATCAATTTATGTCGGCTTGGACCGGGAAGAGAGGGAGCGTGACAAGGGGTAGGGTAATGTGCTGGGAGTGAAGCCTTGGCCACATCAACACTGTCCAGCTGTCGATGGCAGCTATTGGGCAGACGCAAGGCAGAAAATTGGAAGAGAATGTTCTGGCAATAGAGGCAGGGGATGGCATTGGCCACTGGCAGGGACAGAGGACAGAGAGATAGAAAGAGTGCCTGGGTATTGGCCTTCCAAGGGATTTCCTATAGACCCACATTTTGCTGGCCAAATTATTTCCAGCATTCTCACATTTAAAGAGCAATAAACCCAGTGAGAGGTACACGAGGGGAAAAACTGCACTCCTTCACCATTCCCATCTCGGAGACTGCCAGAAATAAAACACAAAAAGCCGAGATGCAGGCTTCTGCTGGAAAAAGAGAAAGTAAACTAGGACATGGTGTCAGTGAGCCCCTTGTTCAGAGGCTGTCTTTGCTCTCAGTCTCGCCATCAATGCACTTCAGCTGCTGTTTATTTTAACACCTGTCCCCCAAAGTTCCTGGATTCAGTTCGAAACTGTAAGATAAAACAAATCAAAGCTTCTCGTTTCCATCTTTGCTTCTTTCCCTCCCTTGTAACCATTCCCCCAGAGTCCAACCATCAGCACAGCGGGGAAGCTGGGGGGAGACGTACCTCGATGGAGGGGGGCTTCTTCCGTCTGCCTCGGATCCAAGCTGGAGAAGGAGGAGGAGGAGAGAGGAGTATAAAAAAAAAAAAAAAAGAGAAGAGTGAGAACACCCACACAAACATACGCTGCACAAACAAAACCTGCAGTCATATTTAAAGGCTGCAGCTATAGCGTCACTGAGTTTCAGGGCACTACAGTAGCTCAGTGCAACTACTGAGTACCCAAGCTAGTTGAGGGAGTGTATCGAGGGTTTGTTTTGTTTCATTTCACTTAGCGAACTATAGGGAAAATGTGGAATGGTAAAACATCCAAGCTACACACATGATGAATTGAAAACACTAATACTGCTTTAGTCTATGCAGAGCAGGGCCACTGAGTGCCGTGTCTCAGAAGAGAAAGTGTGGATCCACTCTGATCTCTGAATTTGAAAGTACACTCTCCGTCATTCTCCATCAATACCTCTGTCCTTCTTTCTCCTCCTGAGTAGAACTGTGTCTGTCTGTCATCTCGTCTTTCTTTTTTTTTCTTTTTAAGGAGCTCTATTTTGGCTGAGCTGGCTGCACAGCAGAGCAGGTTAAAGGGAGCCAGAACGAGAGAGAGAGAGAGAAAGAGAGAAAAAGAGAGATTTTCTAACTCTTCCTCCAGCTAGCACAGGGATTCTGGGCCTCTTTTATCCCTTTCTTATTTGCATCCTGATGAAAATGCATGAGGGATGGGGCGAAGCAGGATGAGGGGTTTAAGGTGGATAAAGCCAGTCTGAGACAGAGGGAACAGTTTGTATCCAGTTGTAAGAAATTTGAAACACTATTTTATGGTACGGTTGTATAACACCAGCAGAAGGCGTCTTTGATAAAGTCATGAATACGCTTTTCCCAACCCCCATCTCGCTGTATGAAAAAAAAAAAAAAAAGAAAATCAATGGATTAGCTTAGGTCCCAATAGATGCAGTCATGAATTTGTTATTCCATTTTATTTGTGCAGTATTTTATGCACTCTGCTGGGTATCTCTTTTGTTAACATTGTCATTTATCCATGTTAGTGATAGTTAAAAGTATGTAACAGTGATGCTGCAGTCCAGACTTACCGTCCCACTCCATCGGTATGCTGCCTTCAATATATTCATATTCTGTAGGATTGGCTGCCACCACCATTCGCTTGGCACGGACGAGTCTTCCTGGGAAACCAGAAGGAAAAAAAAAAAACAAAAAGAGAGAGAGAAAGACAGTGAGAGGGAGCAAGAGTGAGACAGAGATGCTCAACAATGATGCATACAAAACGCAAAGGAATACAAACAAACACAAAAGAGGCGCAGACACAATGCTTTACGTCTCCTGCTCGCTCATACACACAGACACAGACAGACGTACAGACACACAAATACACAGAGGGATGACAGCACTGTGACAGGCCATGGATGATTACCTCGTGGCCCTCGGGCCCTTCTCCTCAGATCTCGCTGAGTGGCTCCAAATCTGGGCTAAGCCTTTATGCAAATGAGCCTCCCTTTAACCCAACCAACCACAGCCCCCCTCACTGACAACCTCTTCCAATCACAGCACTCTGGCTAACAATGCCCTCCAAAATCAACATCAAGCCGAGCAGGAGACAAAAGAGGTCAGATATCACAGACAACAGGAGAGGTACGAGCTGCATGGAATATTAAGTGCTCCTTTCCCTATCTGTATACAGCACAACGCTCGCTAGCAGCAAGGCCACCGCCAATTATTTTGGTAGAATCTGCTGATTAGGCAAGTTTGGCATGCCACACGATGACATGAAGACGGAGATA